TGATGATGATGATGGTGATGAAGACACATTTAGTACTTTTGTTCTGAAAGGACATGTTTGTGATTTCCTGTTTTTGCTCACATCCTTCTTTGTTTTTCTAACTCTCAGAAACTCAGTTAGACTTTTTTATGTTATTTTCAAACAACCTCAAAGTTTTAAAAACCGTTTAGATCCGACTTCTCGCCGCCCGAGTGGGTGGAAACACACAGCGTTTCGTTTACTAACAGATTCCCAGAATTCCTGCCTGTGAGGTCACTCCTTCCTCAGATGAGCCCCTCCCACCCGGGTTCAGCCCAAAGGGGTCCGAGGCGCCTGGACACTTCAGTCCGACGACCGGCCGCAGCTCATCCATCCTCTCCTGGCAGGACGAGTGAACGTGAGCTGCAGCATTATGACTGTCAGCGTGGAGCTTCCATGATTTATGAGTCTGTTATTTCATATTCAGGCAGGAAATAATCCAGCCTCTCTTGCAACACGAGTCTTAATCACCGCCAGATGACAAAGTCGCTTCAAATAAATGAGTTTTGATTCTTGCTGTAATCATGACGAGCTGACGTCTGAGCCGCAGATGATCAAACGTTCTGGGAAACAACCTGAGCGTGATTCAGCCGTGGGATTCTAGCTTCTGATCCAAAAACCTCTTATTGTGAAATCCAGACAGACGGTGGCAGATTGATTCCAACTGGAAGACGAGAAGGTTCTGGTTTGGTTTACCGACAGAGGAAGGAAAGTCGCATCATTTTACGACTTCCTGAAACTTCCTTCCTTCTGCAGGAAAAGTTCAACTAAACTTTCTCTTGTTTCTGGTTTTAATTATTAGCCTTTCAGTTCATTTTTGTTCTTGCACAACCCCTCATGGACGGAGCTGCTCCATCCCTGCTGGGGCTCAAGCGGGCCCCCACCCCCTCCACGTGTCTGATCTGGAGAGGGACACCTGGAGGCTCGCTGGGGGGCGGCTGGAGTGAGGTTGTGGTCCCGCGGATCCTCACGAGGACATCTTGATTCACTTACGTGGTGTCAGATCTGTTAGTGCACGAGCATTCCTGTGGTGTGATACAACCACATCTCTCTGAGAGGTTGTGTAATCCTCCTCTTATCTAGTTTACACATTCCCGTCCGCCTGCAGACAGAGGGACATGCAGAGGTAGACATTTAGTCTCATCTGTGCTGAAACCAAATCAGACCTCAGACAGGAATCAGCGTGTGACCCTGCAGACGGTCACCAGCACAAACAAGGAGAGCTGTGGAAGTTTCCTATTCCTGAAACGCTTTTGGCTTTTTTAAAGACCGCTCCACCGTCACCGTGCTGCTTCAGCGGAACGGCCACTGGCTTGGCTTTGCAGACGAGCTCAGAGTGGAGGAGGGAGGGGCTTTCATTTGCCTTGGAGGCGTCCTTCAGGGGCCGTAAACAAGACGTGTCTGCAGTGGGACCTGCAAACAGCAAACATCTGCCATTTCCATCCTCACGAGCTCGCTGTGATCCTGCTGCGACAGGCTTCCACTGAGCCAGCAGTCCCAGGCCGAAGGGACATTTAAATGCATAATTAGTCCCTGTAATTGCCAGACTTTAGGACTGTGTGGAAAAACAAGAAGGGGTGGTCATCTAAAAGTGTAAATTCAACACTAAGAAGCAGTAAAATGTCAGGAAAAAGCACAGCGAGCTCCTTCTGTCTGAAAACAGAGAAAACAAAGAGAAAAGGTGTTATTGGTCATCAACGTGTGTCTAGAAGAATGGCCTCCGCTCGTTTCAGTTTTATTTATTTAACCAGAGTCCTTTCCATTCATAAAGCCCCTCCCACAGCCTCTCTGGACGCCCAACAACACAACAAGAAATGGGTTTAAAACAGCCATGAAAGTCCTGAAACCCAACAGAAGGAGCAGATTACAGGCTGGACTGTCTGCTGTTGGAAAGCCAACAACACACACATCTTCAAACGGGATTTAAACCAGCAGAGAGGCTGACTGGTGCATGGTTAAACAGCCTACCTGACCCTGACCCCAACCCTTCCAGTCGACATGAAGAGCCTCCGTCAGCGTGACGGCGTTTGTCAAATATCCTTTTCATAACTTTGAACGGATGAAAGTGAAGTTCTGAGCTGTTTCAGAGCGACGAGCCGTTAGTTCAGCATTTGCATCTGAAGGATCTTCTGGTAAACATGTCGGACCTAAAATATGCTAACATAGCAGTTTTTACACAACATGCCGGACTTTTGTTGTGTTCTAGTGGCGCCACTTCCTTCTTTGTCTATCCACGGACAAAGTTGTTCTCCACACCTTCATCTCCTCACGCTTAGACCACTGCAAACCCTTTTCAGATACACATTCTGGAATATGTGCGGATAATTCAGTCCGGTTTCTAACCAGAACTGTGTTTTCAGACACACCACGTTTGTACCGGAACTTGTCCTTTCGGCGGCCTTCACACAGCAGGGAAACGTTCCACATGTCTGGGGGCGGATCGGACTCATGTTAAGCATAATTCTGCACACATAAGAGACCTGGATGATGAAGCTCAATGGTTAAAGGAATCACGGAAGCGGTGTGAAGCGCTCCGTCGCGCATCTAGGTGGTACCGTAGGAGGCGAGCTGCCGTGGTTCGCCGCATGCTACAGGAGCGGGCTATCTAGGTGCGCACAGCGTCCCCCGGTCCCCTCCTCCTTGTCTGGAACTCGACCTCACCAGTCTGAAGCAGCCACCCTGTCCGTGACAAGTCCGGACCTGTTACTAGGGGCTTCGTCCGGTTTAATTACGGAAAACGTTATCCGGATGTTTGTATTCAGACACAAAGGTCTTACGGACAGAGTCCGGAACATTCCCGTTTTTCATGGCCTGTCTGAAGGGGCTTTACTCTCTTTTCACGTGTCTGAGCAGAACCTCCCTGAACCGTCTACAGGTGGTTCAGAACGCCTGTGCTCGGCTTCTGACCAAGTCCTCCAAACACACCCACATCACCCCGCTTCTCCTCCAGCTTCACTGGCTGCCAGTCAACTTCAGGGTTCATTTCAAGATCCTGGTTCTGGTCTATAGGGCCTTACATGGACAAGCACCATCTTACATTGGTGATCTTCTCGTTTCTTCTTCTTTCTTCTTAATTTAGGACATAAAAGCTATTTTTCTGAACGGAAGCTGTTCAGGAGGCCAAAGACATGATTTATCTTTAAACTAGACACAAAAACACCTTTTTCCTGTTTTGTCTGGTCCTCTGAAGCAAACGTTGTGTAATAAATGATTTCAAATGGTAATAACCCGTTTAGTTGGACGGGTTAGGCCTGGGCTGGGACACAGGGAGTCTCTGAAGTCCTGAAAGAAACAGGTTCAGGTGAAACCCGTTTACTCCCACTTCACATCTGGACAGCTGTTTCTCTGAAAACTGAAGGAGGCCTGCGGTTTCTGCTGCTGCCTATCAAATTAACCTCCTCAGCGTCTGTCACAGCAGGAGACCAGCACCTCATCACCCGGGGGTTCACGTGCACACACGACTTCTGCTGTGAACACATGGTCTGTTGCATAGAAAAGGCTAAACTTTCTGATGTCGTTAAATTTGTTCAAACTTTGCTGTTTCTCATCAGTTTAATTTGTTATTAAAGCAGAATCAACAGATTTACTTCTTCACCTGAGTCTCTGACGGTCCTGCTGGTGTTGATTCTGAGCTCTGATTGGTTAAGCCCTAGCTGGAAGCAACAGCTTTAGTCTTTCACAATAAAATACTTACAATTTCTGCGCAGCAGCAAATATGGGTGCTTTCTGGAAGTCTTCAAAAGGGAGACCAGATCTTTCTTCTTCTTCTTTTGTTTGTGTTTTTTTTTTTTGGGGGGGGGGGGGGGGGGGGGGCTTTGACAACAACAGTTGAAACCTTTAATCCTCTAATATTGGCCACTACTGTTTATTTAACCAGGAAGGTCCCGCTGAGATTAAAAACCTCATTTTCAAGGCAGTCCTGGCCAAGAGCCAGCAGCAGTTACAGTTACTATAAGTTACAGTTACTTTTACGTGTATCAAGGAGGTAAACTGGGTTCATGTCCAGTGTTCCTGCAGCTGCTCCGTGCAGAAGGAGCAGAGTGAACCAAAGCCCTTCGGCCCGGTTCAGTGTGAGGAAACAGAACCCAGAGTACCAGCTGGTGGTTTATTACAGGTGCAGGTGGGTAGTAATCCAAGCATGACCTTCTGTGTACCACAACATGGCCGCTGGGAGTCGCTTCCTGATATGAACCTAGTTAGTTTGAATCCAACTTTCTTGTTTTCGTAGGAAAGTGTGCGAGCGTGGTACTGGTTAGTGCTGCTGAAGAGGGCTTCTTGGATGATACAACCTACTGAGGATTGCTGTAAAGACTCTGACTCTAGTCAGTGACTCGATGCAACCTGCTGGGTTCCTTATACAGGAAACTTGTTACTGACTGGCTTAATGACCTGACCTGACCTGTGTTGTTTACAGTGTGAAGGTCCTTGAGACGACTGTGGTCTGACGTGGAGCTACAGAAACAGAAGCCTCTAATATGCGTTTATTGGTTTGTTTGTATGCTTCTCAGACCGCTGAGGTTATGGAGGCAGCAGTAGCTCAGGAGGTAGAGCGGGTTGTCCAGTAATCAGAGGGTTGTAGGTTCCACCCTGGCTCCTGGCAAAGTACTCTGTGTCCTTGGGCAAGACGCTTAACCCACCTTGCCTTCTGGTGGTGGTCAGGGGGACCGGTGGGGCCAGTGTTCAGCAGTCTTCCTGGCTCAGTGAGCCCCAGAGCAGCTGTGGCTACATGTAGCTCATCACTACCAGCATATGAATGGATGAATGTTACACTAGTGTAAAGTGCTTTGGAGTCCTCTGACTCTGAAAGGTGTGGGTTTTTTTACCGGTGTGGAGAAGAAATCAGTTTACCAGCTTTCATGATGCTTTTCTGTTAACTAACTCTCCACCCAACTCACTTTATTTGAACATATTTCTTTGTTTTTTCTCCAGAGAAGATTTTCACCCACGCGTGGCTCTTTGGCTTCATGATCTTATTTTGAAACTATCAGCCGGAAGTGGGCCCGGCTGCTCTGATTGGGCACCTCCCTCCCGCTGGAGAAGCTGATCCCGTTCAACTTTCTCCTCCAGAGGGATCCAGAACCGTCAGTAAGAGGTTTACCGTCCCTGAGGCTCGGCTCGGTGTCGCGCGGACCCGTCCGGGAGTTCAGGTCCACGAGACACACCGGACAACGTCATTCTTTAGGTCGACGTCACAGTCAAACGTGAGTGTTTGTGTCTGTTAGAGCAGCTTTTGTTCTCTATTACGTCCGCAACAAAAGATCTGTGTGTGTGTGTGTGTGTGTGTGTGTGTGTGTGTGTGTGTGTGTGTGTGTGTGTGTGTGTGTGTGTGTGTGTGTGTGTGTGTGTGTGACCTGTGTGTGTGTGTGTGTGTGTGTGTGTGTGTGTGTGTGTGACCAGTGTGTGTGTGTGTGTGTGTGTGTGTGTGTGTGTGAGACCAGTGTGTGTGTGTGTGTGTGTGTGTGAGACCAGTGTGTGTGTGTGTGTGTGTGTGTGTGTGTGTGTGTGTGTGTGTGAGACCAGTGTGTGTAACCAGTGTGTGTGTGAGACCAGTGTGTGTGTGTAACCAGTGTGTGTGTGTGTGTGTGTGTGTGTGTGTGTGAGACCAGTGTGTGTGTGTGTGTGACCAGTGTGTGTGTGTGTGTGACCAGTGTGTGTGTGTGTGTGTGTGTGTGTGAGACCAGTGTGTGTGTGTGTGTGTGTGACCAGTGTGTGTGTGTGTGTGTGTGTGTGTGTGTGTGTGTGTGTGTGTGTGTGTGTGTGTGTGTGTGTGTGTGACCAGTGTGTGTGTGTGACCAGTGTGTGTGTGTGTGTGTGTGTGTGTGTGTGTGTGTGTGTGTGTATGTATGTATGTAACCAGTGTGTGTGTGTGAGACCAGTGTGTGTGTGTGTGTGTGACCAGTGTGTGTGTGTGTGTGTGACCAGTGTGTGTGTGTGTGTGTGTGTGTGTGAGACCAGTGTGTGTGTGTGTGTGACCAGTGTGTGTGTGTGTGTGTGTGTGTGTGTGTGTGTGTGTGTGTGTGTGTGTGTGTGACCAGTGTGTGTGTGAGACCAGTGTGTGTGTGTGTGTGACCAGTGTGTGTGTGTGTGTGTGTGTGTGTGTGTGTGTGTGTGTGTGTGTGTGTGTGTATGTATGTATGTAACCAGTGTGTGTGTGTGAGACCAGTGTGTGTTGGTGACTGATGACGATGATGATGATAATGATGAAGATGAGGAGGATGAGGAGGGTGATTCTGGTGAAGTCAGAAGGAAGACGGGAGCGTCGGCCGCTCCGGGATCAGAGCTGGAAATAGTTGGATTAAGTTTGTTCCACTGAAACAGATCAGGCTCCAGGATGATGTCACGCTGCTGTTGCGTAACTCATGGTTCTCCTGCGGCGTGGCGTCCATCTGGACCAGAACCGGCCCGTCTTCTGCTTGTTTAGTTCAAAACAAGGAGGCAGAACCAGTTTCCTGTCCAGTGATCCCGGATGCCGAGTCCATCTTTCACTCTCAGCTGATTCAGATCAAAGAGGAGGAGCTTTAGTCAGTCGGCTCACACAAACACGTTGTGGGGAAGCAGCTGGAGGTTAAAACTAACGGGTCAACTGGAGAGATGTGTTCTGGTCGTCCGTCAGGCGCCGGGGGCGGTGCCGCCGGGGGCGGTGCCGCCGGGCGGCTTTCAGGTGAAAGTCTGACTCAGATGATGATGAGGGCCGGTTCACGGGTGTTTTAGTGGAGTCGGGAACCAAATGGAGCCTGAGAGCAGAAACAGATGTGGCTGCAGCCTCCCCCTCCTCCTCCTCCTCCCCCTCCTCCTCCTCCTCCTCCTCCTCCTCCTCCTCCTCCTCCTCCTCCTCCTCCTCCTCCTCCTCCTCCTCCTCCTCCTCCTCCTAGGCTGGTTGCTTCATCAGCGCTGTCCCAGAGTCCTGACCAGGTTCCAGATGGGATCTGGAAGTCTGATCTGTTTGAGTCGGACACAATCTGAGAATAAAGTCATTTATGGCAACATGAATGGTGCATAAATGCTGTTTTAACGCGACTGTTTGGGATTAAACTCTAGAGGAAGGCAGGAAGCAGCATAAATACATGTTTTCAGTCTGATTTAAGCTGCGTTCCCGCTGGGACGAGCCTTCAGCCCGATGGGAGGTGACGGGTCTGTGGAAGAAGCTGAGCCCAGAGGCTTACGGGTCCACCTGCATGGAGGGCCGGTATCCAGCACGTTTTAGTGGTTTCTCTGCTCCAACACACCTGTGCAGCAGCCACCTGCTGGTTGGAATCAGGTGTGTTGAAGCAGGGCTGGGTACCGGTCCTGTCCGACTAAAACAACAAACTAAATAAACTGAGCGGAGTTTCAGAACCGGTTCTGTCTGGTTATTTTCCTGTTTGCCTTGTTGTGGTCAAGCTTGTGTCAGACGGAGGTCTGGGTGTGTTTGGGCGCTGTACAGACTCGTCTGTTGCCTCTCGGGCGGACCCGGGGCTGTTTGGGTCTGTCGCCGGAGGCGGG